CTGAGTGTCTTTATCTGTGAATAGATGCCTTTATTATAAATCTTCTCTACACAACGTAAGAATGAAGCTTTGAGAAATTTGTACACTCGTAATCGTATACAAGTAGTTAGAATAATCAGCTTGTCAAGAAGCTTAATTTAAATTGATGATCGTTAAACATCGCCAACCATCCCAGAACCGTTGGAAACGAAGGAATTACAGTACGATAATATTCTGACTAAGCGCGGGAATACGATGCATTAGAAAAGGTGGGATTCATTCTTTTATACCCTAATTCTTTCCACTGATCTCTTAGCAGACTTTGATTGTTATCGATTTTGAGTGGGTCATTTCAAAAGGTGCTAAGGCTTTGTTTGACTATAACACAGTAAGTGTTCATTGGTAATATGTCTAGTTCTCAACGAATTTGAAAACCCATTTTCACTTAAAGTGGTTTCCTGCTATTTTGCTAAAACCAGTATTTATTTTTTCCTATATATCCTTTGAATGAGAGTATTTTCACAAAAGGTTTCAACGTGGTTAGCATCATCGACCACAAAATTACACTTATTTCTAATTTTTCGCGATAATTCTGCAAGCATAGTTCCTGCAACTGTTAGTAATTTGCATCTTGTGATCCAAACTCCTCTGTTTAAAGAAAAGTGTTCAACCTTAAGTTGTATGCACCAGGAACTGCAGAGTTAACTTTCGATTAACATCAGTAAACTAAGCATAAGGTCCCTAGAAGTTCGCTACAACACGCATTCTTTGAAAAAATTAACTTAGCCAACTCATTAAGAAGGTTTAATCGTGGTCCTCTGTAGAAAACCAGGTCCAGTTGACACCGTAAACCTACTGCTTTTAGTCGTATGTAGCAGAACAAATGATATGAAGTCAGTATTCTGATTGCAGAACCATCCATTACCAAAAAGAAAGCTGGTTACAGCTCCACATATAAACGAGTTGCTGTCTTTTATGTATACGTTTAACTCTTTTACTTTGCAGTCCAGGTGACATTATGCATACTCTGTCATATAAATCAAGAAAAATTTATCAGAAAAGTGGACATAAATATCAATCGACCATATTTCCATCCCATCTTGTTATCGTTCCCAACAGAAATTAAGACACAAAATTAACTAAAAACTTTTCAAGTGTGCTTTTTGCAGCTTCCCATTGTTGTGCATCATGTGAACTACTTGTGATTAACTTGATATGATAAATTTCCTTGAATTGTTATATATATATATATATATATATATATATATATATATATATATATATATATATATATATATATATAGCTAGGCATCCTTTGTTTGCTCCTATGATTTAACTTGATGAATTCCCCTATAACTATCTACAGGTTTGTTTAAAATCACTTAAATGACATTTAACAGTAAATCACATCTGATGTTTTCATATTCTACATGATTTATTAAGCTTTATTAAATTGGTGAATGCCTTTCAAATAAAAACAGTTTATGACAATAACATCTCCGCTACATATCCTAAATCTAAGCACAGGGTACTGACATCTTGATATTTTGAAATCAGTATCTGTCTTTCTGTTAGCTGACAGCAGTATAATATTTCCGACTAATCTCATTCTTTCACTACCCTTTTTAATGTACAAATTCAATGATATAATAGGAAAATATCAAAATATCTACGTACCAAAACATGAAGCGTTGCTCTTGACGACAATGCATATTTGATAGGATTTTGAAACACTAAGGTTGATCAATACATCATTAGTAAACTAGATAAACCGAACTATAATTAGTTAAAGAATCTTGAAAATACATTCATTGTTACAATACACACTAAATAATGGACATTAAATTGGTTTAAAGTTATGATGTCGCCTTTTCAATAAAATGATCATAATTCATGCTAAAAAACTATTCCACAAATCTTGTATTTTCTAGTCATAATTATGCTTACTTCATATATTTAGGAAATAAACTGCTTCAATAATCAGTACAGATTTAGCAATGTAACGCCCAATCCTTCGTAGTGACCTACACCTACTAGTCAAACCGCATATCTGATATTTTGACACAAAGACTGTTTACAAACGGGATACCCTTGATCTTAGTTATGTTTTCAGTATTCCTCATTAGTGAGGCTAATGAGAAAAGTTAAAAAGATACACTGATATTATAACTCGCCATATTTTGTAGCTTGATATATCACATATCACAACCTAGTTTTCGATCTGTAAAACAGCATCAGTTTTATTCGACTGTCTGTATCCGACATCTTGCCATGTAAGCTATATGCAGCGTGACTGACATTAGTGGTCATTATCTTGTTCAAATAAATATTCCAAAAATATTACAATGAATGAAAAGATTGGTTAGATTACTCTCAAAATTACTCATTTCACACACAATTCGACCGAAATAATGACCACTCATGTTAGTCATGCCACAACATTGCAATATGCGGATACTGGCACCCTGACCTAACAATTTAGTTCCTTAGATCTTGAAATTGAATACATCCCGTTCTGATCAGTCATGTGTTACCCGCTTGATTGTTTTCGTAAGCGGTCCAACTTTTAAATAGAGAGTTAAGCTTCTTCTTAGCCTCAGAAATGTTACCTCATCAGATGCAAGTTTCTAGAAATTTATTAGATGTAAAAAAACCCTTGCTCATTCTGCACAAAGTATAAATGCACGCTATTCATTACTGGAGGTTTCCCTATACTTGCATTTTAGTAGGGACAACTGAAGTCATTAAAAAACTGTAGAATACACCCATTTGATCATAGGTAAAGACAAAAAAGATGATTGCAGCGAAGGACAATTGTTATTCTAGACGAAGTCATCTACTAAGCTGTACGTCGGTAAGTATATATTGCAAAGGGTGGAACACCCTAGAATTATTTCCGGTTATGAGATCAAAACATACTGAATAACAAAAAAAGCATATAGTACGAATGCTGGTTTAAAGTAACAAAATAAACCAGGGATTAGGAAAGTATAATTACATGATGCAGGATTTATCTGGGAAAGTCAAGGCTTTATGATGGTTTTGACAAAGAGGAAGTCTGAGTGTACTTTTTAAACACAGCTCTGGCTTTAACTTTTGAATGTTTAACGCTTCAACTATACCAAAATCTCCTGATCTTATTCCCTTTGAATGGCTTGGTGGAACCCTGTAGAGGTTTTTGAAAGATTTCTCAAAAGGAGGTGAGTAACATGGACTTACAAGGCGTTCTGTTATTGTGCTGAAGATGTATTTCCATTCTCCTTTTTCTAACTAGGTTGGATAATGATCTCGTGCGCGTTCTACAAGTGGACACATAGTACGACCGATGTACTCAGCTCCACAGGAGCATGTATGCTTATATACACACAGTGGTGTGAAAGGTGACTAAAATCCAAGTGTTATAAGCATATCTGATTTATTTGTAACTACTTACTTTGGGAACAGTGCGTATAACATAATTTTAATACTGACTTCTAGCGGGCTTGATTACCTCCAATATTCCATACGTCTTTGAAATAAATATGCATGAGAAAAAAGCTTCATCAGCTTCCATGTGTCCATCAAGATCCATTCCTTGTCTTCTTTCCTCTCTTATTCTAACACGGTTATGCAGGTTTCTTTCCACATCTCTTTCAGAGAGTTCCAGTGTTCTTCCACACAGGTTCCTTCACGGATGTTGCTCAACGTCTCCTATTTCGTTCTGATGGCTGACGTGAGGATGTCCTCTGCAGTTTCTTCCTTCAGTTTCTGGGTGTTGAACTTGAGCTGTGGTCTATCATCAACTTCCTTGAAGGCTTTCAACCTGATTTAGAAGGCGGGTTCCTTGCACTAGACATTAAGTGGTCTGAGCCTATATCTGCTCTCCTTCTTCATCTGATCTTGTGCCCAGTAGGCTGACTGAGTCTCCACTTTCTTCACATTGAGATGAAGTCGATCTGGATTTTAGTGTGTCCATCTTGTGAAATCCATGTCGCTTTGCGGATATCCTTGTGTTTGAACACGGTGCCTCTAATCACCGGATTGTTGAATGCACAGAAATCTGCAAACAGTTCTCCATTTCACCTAGCGCTTCTCGACCCATGGTTAGTTCTCTTCCTGTGTTGCCAACTGGGTTTGGGTCTTGTCCAGTGTTGATTACAGCTGTCTGTAGAATTCCTCCTTCTTCTCTTCATCTGCAATATTTGTAGGTGCGTAGCACTGTATGACTGTGACTTTCCTTCCTTTTGATTTGAACCTTGCTGTTATGATCCGGTAGAAGGAGATTGGTTCCCACTGTATGAGAGCCTTTGATGCTCTTGGGGACATCAGGATGGCCACTCCCTCTGTGTGCTCGTGGTTGTCGTGCAGGTGACCGGAGTAGATTATTGAAAGTTTGGAGAGTCTACTTCCACTTCATCTGCTTTCGCAGATTCCCAGCCTAGCATTTCTATGCTATATCTTCTCATCTCTTTTGCAACCTGGGCAGCCTTGCTAGGTTCAAACACTGTGTGGACATTCCATATCCCCATGTTTACTTTCGCCTACGTCGACAGAGAAGACAAATCAGCGAATTTGGCTTTCCGAAGGCTTTCACCAACTGGCGTCATTTCGTCTCTTAGATTCTAGCCATGAATGAGTTTGTTTTTGTTTTTCATATTTTGTTTGTGCTTTAAAGTTTCTTTATCGGTTGGATTTGTTTTACGGGGTAGGGTTGCTAGCCCTATGCCCAACCTTCCCTCTTTACCCGGGCTTGGGACTGGCTAGTAACTAGTGAACTAGTTAATCTGGATTGAAAAACTCTCTTTCGACAGCCGCTACTTCTGGCTGATGTGTGTAACGGATGTTGATAATCCTTTTGTAAAGACATAAATCTTAAAATGGCAGAAACCGTGATTTTGATTGGAATTGAAACGCTGTAAATACATTTTTAGCTAAATTTCAGTAAGGCATAGAAAAATAACTGAAGTAATTGATAGAAAAACTGTCACAAATAAAACAAGTTAGTGTGTCACTTTTATTGATTTCTTTGTCTTTTTATTCAGTGCTCAAGCTGAGATCATTTCATCAAATATTTCGAAACAGAAGGTTACAGTGAAACATAAAGATAATATCAATGGAAGTGGTCAAAAGAAATTAAAGGAGGATGGAAATAGAAGCGGAAAGTTAGGAAGAAGAAAGAGGAGAAGGCAACAACAACAAAGGTCTCGAAAACTTGTGGCTAGAACAGAAGCATTTATTCAGCTAGACAAGTCATATCACCAGAAGATCAGCACGTTAACTCTTACACCAGAACAAGAAAATACTAAGGAGTTCTTTCAAGGCAGAAGACGATCTAAAAGAGCTGCTACAGCATATGTGTCAAGGACATGGCCTAATGGAGTCATACCATACATTATACAAGCCAACTTTTCAAGTAATTTGCTTTGCTTTCTATGCATATTGGTAGTAGCTAGTTATCATGTTCCCGATTAGAAACAATACCGAAATACAGTCTTCTTTCATTGAATTTATCATTCAGGAGACAGAAATCTCAGACTGAGTGATTATTAGTAAGAGTTAAACTTAGCAGTCTAGTAAATATTGTTAGCTTAGTTCAAACATTCTAAAAACTGCAAATTGTTCGAGATTATATTCATGGATTTTTACTAAGAACCATAACATTTACTACGGCATTTCAACAAAAACTTTATCTTACCTCAGTTTAGGAACATTATGAATAAAACATACTTAAAGATCAGTATTTCAACATCTAATTCGCCTTAATATGACCTGTGTATCTTACAACAAAGAATGAATCACTACAGTTTAGTGAGTGAATTTTCTTGCTGATGGTTATCGTTTATCATATGCGTGAATAATCGACAATCCTTTTCTAAAGTTGTATTCCACCAAGTATTTCATGATACTGGTTTGGTAATGATTTATTAAAGAATATTGAAAACGCTTGATTACTTCTTGGCATTTTTTTTATTGTAGACATTATCTATGTTCATAGATTGTAATAAACAATCTTCAGCACTTGTTATCACCAGTTGAAGTGAAGACTGTTCCAACTGCTTCTTAATTAAATAAGACAATAAACACTGTTAGTTATTCATAATCCGTTCTAACTAAAGGAATCATTTTTATCGATCATAACAATTAAAAAGTGTTCCAAACTTGTGACATTTGTTATTGATTAGCTGAACATATCAAGCCACTAATATGTGATTTAAGTAGACACATTTCACAGGAAATAAACTTCTCTGCATCACTCGTTACAAACATATGGTCGAAACTTAAGTCAAGGCGAATTATATGTTTTAATCATTTCCTAAGTCATATCATATGCAATCAGCTTATTTTCTATGCGGAAGAGTTAATTTATCTATGTATAACAGATAAATCTTATCTCTTAAATATTTGAAATGACGTACAACTTCACACAGAATTTCAATCTTTTTTCTTGTTTTAATTATTTAGGTGAAACCAAGGCTACAATAATGAAGGCGATGCGTCATTGGGAGAATTATACCTGTCTAAGTTTTGTTGAGCGGCAACCACAACACAGATCCTATATCATATTCACAGAAAAAGCATGCGGGTAAGTGATTTAAATGGGAGCTGAAGGTTATGATTTCCACCTCCTTCTAAGACTAAACAATAAATGTAAAAATATAAATGGGAACATTTTTCTTCACGTGAGACATTTCTAATTTGACTGTTATCACACTCCTCAAGTCTAATTTATATGCTTAAGGCATTAAATACCGCAATCATACGTGGTTGATAGTATTTATGAGTCTCATATAGCAAACTCCATGTATAAATTACAAAAACTTAAAATTTTGTGGGGAGTTACTATCTTCTTATCTAGGACGAATTTTGCTTGGTGTATGAGTTCATTATGACAGCAATTTTGTAACCATCAAAAACGAATCCTTTGTATTTACTATAAAAGGATATTTTTAGAATTTTAGAGTAACACATGCAAAATTAGAAGCCAAAACTTTCACTCAGAAATATGGACATTTTGAAATTTCAACATGTAACTAGATTAAAAATGGACTTAAGATAAAATTACTTAAAATAATCCATGTAAACAAAAACTGCATACCCCGGAGTTATCAAGAATGACCGTACAAAGATATCTTAAGGCCACTTTGAAAGTAAAAAGTTCACTTCATGTTGAGCTGAATAAGGATTGTGACATGTTCCTGAATTCTAATTTTTAACATACTTTATATGATCTCTTCTAAGTGAAGTGGTATTTTCGGATTTATAGGAGGTTAGTGGCTGGAATTGTAAAGATTAAGTCAGCATCCCAGGGTACCTGAACAAAAATTTTCAGTGTTACTGACTACTATCATTTCTTGTTGTTGACTGTTGAAGAGGAAAAATATCGAAGTAATTTACACTACTTGCTATTATATAGTAGTATAATATTTCGCAGTATTTTCAGTCTTCTTGGTCGCCAGGATGGATATAGCGAAAAAATTAATTTTAAAATTGCTTCAGTAGCATACTTTTTAATCAAATTTAGAAAACTTTGTTTCATTAATTGCACTTTGGATATCTTTCTTTAAAATCTACAGTTGCTGTTCGTATGTAGGAAGACGCAGTGAAGATGAACCACAGGCTATATCGATAGGTAAAAACTGCGACAAGAAAGGAATTGTAATACATGAACTTGGCCATGTGATTGGTTTTTGGCATGAACACACTAGACCTGACCGAGATGGTAAGTTTTGTGAGCGCAGTAAAATGAAGGGTTTCCATTATCTTGTTTGTTTCGCGAGCTTTGAAGAGCTTACGAACTTTAGGCTAAACAAAGCTTGGAATAAGCATCTTCGAGTAGAGTTTTAGGTAAATACACCAAAAAATGATTGTGGATATCATAGAAATACGGTTTCATTTTTCCAGTGTCGCTATTTGTTCTACTTATTATTCTTAAAACTACTATTAAATATCCGCAGTGAAATATGTTTAACCAAACTACTGTTTTAATTATTTCTCCGTCTGGCCTTATTGTGATAAACTTATGATACTTTCTTTGTTAGGTATTTGTTACCGAATAATTGTCCATAACGTCGATGGCTGCGTTTTTCGTGGAAAGCTAAAGCCATGTCAATCAGATAATAAAAACAGACATGAGTTATCATAGAGAAAACTTCAAATTTCAATCTCTACCTTGGCCTACTACGCAGAAGATTTACATATAGTTATTATTCATATTAAACACCCCCACTCTTTATTCTTCTTTACTGTCCTCCCCCCTTCCTCTTAGCATTGTTGTTGGATGGCATACACATAAGCTGTCGGTTTTTAAACCATTACCACTGCACTATTGTATAGCGTTTATCTTGTTTCTGTCTTAATGGCGTTTATCCACCTCCAACCCTTGCATAATGTTTATTCCATTTTATCATTATGTCCACAATGGTTACCATTTCATTTACTGCTGCTCAGTGCACGAAATTTCCTCCTGTTCTGACTGTAAACTTACATGAGCAGAATACTCCCTGTCTTGACTATTCTTTATTTTATGCGTTTCCCTGGATGCTATGTCATAACGCTTGCGAACAAAGAGAGGAAATTATTGGGACTGAATGTTTACTCAAATAAAAATTAGGTAGGTTTCAAAGTAAGGCCGATCGATATTTGTTACAGGCAAGGCAGTATGCGCCATTTCTTTGTATTGGTGAGAACACATCGTCTAATGCAGTGATTTAGAAACGCTAAGTCTGGGTGACATAATAAGTACCATCACACATGCTTTTTTGTGCGAAAAGGAATATCTCATGACTATTCATAGATAAGAGCTAGCCAGTGACCGGCCACAGTATACTAACAGACATAATGAAAGTCCCTCCATTATCGTTAGTAATCATATGGTCGATAAGAACCCAAATCACAAGTAACCAAGTTCATCAGTAAACCTCTGTTTGTTTATTTTCTTAGATTGTATTTACTTATCCATCCATTTAGTGGCCTTACAATCTTAATCTATGTTGACTTCTGTAAACCAAGAGTTTCTACAGACTTAGCATGAATCGCCTTCTCACAATAAATAAGAATGACCTACCGTTTCTCAGCTGTTAGAATCATAAACCAACGTAAGTCATAGTAGTACTTCAGTTACTTTATGGTCATAACGTGAACACTGAATAGTGAGTTCGTAGCTGTTCAACATAAAACCCTCATTGCCCTACAGTTTTTAGGTATTAACCTGAAACATGACGGTCTTCCAATGAAGTTGCAGCTGATAATCATCAATACCTAACTACAGAGATGATGCAGGCTTAAAAAGTCTTTTGAACACTATTGGCTAAGAAGTTATAAGTAACCAAACAAAAACCAGCACTTAAGAACAGGTTAAATCTTATTTCTAGTCTGTTAATTTACACTGAAGTATTTCATGATGTCAAATAATTCACTTATATTAGTATTCAGATCCTTATATGGTGTTCTGACTACCAAAACTACTGTTCGTTCCATGGACAAAAATTACTTAGGTTTTGCGCGAACTAGATGTAGGCCTTGCGTCAAAACAGAAAGAATTTACTGCTATATTTCTTTCAGATGAGATAAATCAGGTAATTTTGAAGTAAACAATGTCAGTTGTCAGAGGAAAAGCTAACTGCACGGGTTGGTTGCTGGTGGATAACCAATGAGGTCATCTAGTCCTTGGTGTTCAGCGCTGAAAGAAGTCTAACGACTATTTCTTCAATCTCACCACTAAGATAGGCAACCTGGCACTTCACCACAACATAATTTTGGTATTAGATGTTAGGAATCAAGTGGCAGAAGCCTGTTCACCTGAGTTTCGTGCTTCTTGGCACTCATTAGTGAGATATACCGATGAACATGAGGAAACTGATATCTATTCGATAATTCAAAAACTGCACCATGCGATGCTAACGACAGAGATTTATGACTTAATCATTCAGGCTACGGCTGGCCACTATGGCACTAGATTTACCACAGTGATTGGTCTCAAGAGGATAAGTGACGTAGCTTTCTAATCCTTAGGGAAATAAATCTTTAGCTATTCGAAACAAATGATAACACACATCTATGCTTTTACTGCTTTTGTCTTCAGTCATCCAAAATATAGAGATTTGCCGGCTACTGTCCCCTAAGAATGGTAGTGATAGAAGTTATGTAAATTGTCTTGAAGTTGGTGTCAGTGGTAAAAATACATTTAATGTTTTCTTTTACAACTATTTGATCTTCCTGTAAATCTCACCTTCGTTATCCTCTGTCAAACATCTGTTTTCATACTGTTTACTGATTCTCTGCATTATACCGTATAAAAATATGACAAATTGGAAGATGTAGACAATTTACTCATAGTTTACTGAGTTATGCAACAATACCGATTTGTTATTCATGAATAGTCTATTTCAAAAAGAAAATTGATCCATGATTTCTCATCAAGATTTCAATGTTTCACAACTTAATAGCTTACACGGAAGTTAAAAACTATTTAATTTATATTCACTTACAGAACACGTAGACATCTTACTTGATAATGTTGTTGAAGGACAGGATTTCAATTTTAAGAAGATGGATCCAGGCGAAGTGAACTCCCTTGGTGAACCGTATGATTACAGTTCTATAATGCACTATGCTAAAGGGACATTTGCTAAAGCGAATAAAGATGAAACGATTCGACCAAAAGCATGCTGTCCTCGACCTCCAATCGGCCAGAGAATTCAGCTAAGTCCTGGTGATATTCGACAAACAAATAAACTCTACTCATGTCCAGGTAATTGATTCATTTGTAATAATAATTATTTCTCTTTACATATCCAATTACACTGAAGTTTTTTAGCTCGCAAACAGAACAGTACTTGTGGTAAGTGGTTGGTTTTAATTATTAGATGACCTCAAATTGACACCACAGCTTGAAAAACGATGGAAAAATTTAGGTACAATGAATAGTACTAGTGTAGCTTAGTTCGCCTTAAGTGTGTGTTCTCATCACTGTTGCTCACTAATGAATTTAAGTGAATTCTAATTAAAATGCAGTACCTGTGTGATTAAACTTCTTCATTCTTCCGATTGGTCATTATTACATTGAAAATTCCCATTTAGATATTTGGTAAAAGACCGATCGAGCGAAGAAACAGATTTCTTTTCATCATTTCCTCTTGAAGTATACTACTTAGTTAGTAACACAGTACGTAGAGGAGCATTTTTCTTCGACTGACAGCTTGAATTTAACAGTGATCATTGCAATTACATCCGTAAATCAGCCACATGGATGGAATTAATATTCAATGATTACATTACTTCCTGTTTTTGAAATTTACCTTAAAAATCAGTTTTTTGGTAATCAGGTTTTAATCAGAAGCATAAACAATGTTGTGTAAGACAACAGCCTTGTAACATAACAAGCATACGTGTATCAAAATGAATACATGTTTTATTGATTGTAAAAATACAATAATAATCTTTTGATTTCTATACACTTTGTCAGCTTCTTCCTTCAGTCACTGATGCTTGAATTATCAAGTGTGACTGAATATTGTGTATCAGTTTAATGAAATTCCTCACGTAACACTACTCCTATTCCATTGTTTAACGTAGGATGCAATAAATAAAAAAAACAAAGCTAAAGACAGTCCTAATATGAAATTGTATACTCGGGGGTGCTAAGCCTTAATCGAAGTAATAAGATTAAGTGCAGGATAGCTGATTTTTTGTAGACCACTGTTAACACCACCAAAACATAAAAATGACATAATATACACCACAAATAGTCAGTTCTATAAATTAATTTTGACAGGAGTTATATCACCACCGCCAACGAATTAACTGAACTACTTGTATCGATTCTGTAGTTTTCTTGTATTTCTCTGCTTATGCTAACTGACTGTTATGAAACATTTCCTCAATATAACCGAGTGAATGAGTATATCAAATCTATTTCTGAAACACTGCGGGTGAAATCCCCTTAATTTGAACGATCAACCATTCTGAACAAATTTAAGCTAAATCTAGAAGTATGCGCAGAGTAATATGCTAATTTAGAAGTAGTATTTATCGCGGACCGACATCATTTAGCAAACCATTTGAAATCCAGGGGCACTGGACAGCTGTTTTTCCTAGTGCGGGACTCCTCAGTGGCACGCACCCACGACGCGGATAGGGGTCGAATTCGGGAACTTCAGGTTTCGCGGCAAACGCGTTGACCATTCAGTCACTGGGTAGCATTCCAGTGGTTCACAATTTCCAACTTCTGTCAATTCATGACATAGTGAAACCTGAAGGTCGTGAGTCCGATCCCCAGCCGGGTCGTGGGTGCGTACTGCTGAGGAGTCCCATACTAAAACGAAACAGCTGTCTAGTGCTCCCAAATTTTCAGTGGCTCCCTAACTGATGTCAGTCCATGATTAATACCACTTTTATATCAAAATAATCCCCGTTCATCTCAAAAATACATTAATATGCAAATTGTTTAGTGAAAGTTTTCACTTTCCATTATTTTGCAATCACACATTTTCAAAACTAGAGTTTCATTTAGTGGAATACATTTAATAAAAACTAACAGTCTTATTGTCGTACCTCTTGGAAGTGACCACAGTTATATTCACCGGATGAAATAATAAATACAGTACTGAAATGAGGAATCTGTGCACCTCATTTTGATAAGAATATAGAACAGTTTTGAGAATTCAGTAAATCTTGATGGTTCTTTTGTGAGAGGTTTTTCTATCACCTAGCATGTCACTCCAGCTCGGAAAACATCTCGGTTTGAATACTTACATTTTGAGTTGAGTATTTACTATCGTACTTGAAGGTCATCAAATTGACATTGGAACCGTCATTTAACGTGAGTTGTTGAATACTTTTTGCTCAAAATAAATGTTGTCGATTTTGGTTAGTTCAAGTTTTGCGTAGTAAGATTTTCCATTAACGTACTTAAAATCACTGAAAATAAACACCAGGGAAAGAGTTGCAGGAGTTGAAATTCAATAATACAGACCTAACAGCATTCACTGACATTTTATATTTTGGCAGAAAAGATGTGATAATTTCAGTCCGTGATATCAAGAGTGTCTACCAAAGGAACTAAATACCGCCTATCATTCATTGATCAAGGGTCTTTTATCGCTGCAAAAGAGGCCTCATTTTCAGTCCGCCCTAAAGTACCATTATGGAAACAGAAGCACTTGACTGATGTGTTCCAAATAGGGCAAGAAGGACTTGTAAGTATCTACTTGTAGCTAATGCTAAAATGTAAACCCTAGTTTATTTCCTATATTAAATACCTTCATAACACACTGATCCATTACAGTGAGTAAGCAGTTCTTACTTATTGAGCATACTATGTATTCATCGTTTTTGCCTCTTTATGTGATCCTTTTGACTCCATTTACTTTTGCCACTGGTATGTTATTGATTTCTCTAGTCCCAAAGATATTACGAACTAAAATAAACGATGAAGTACATTTATTTTGTCTTGAGTAGCGGGAGTGAACAGACTTGAAGCTAAGAGCTGATCTTTCATTGTTTTATTAGCTATGGGTGTGTTGAGGAAAGAAAGTTTCCCTTTATTGGTCATCTTTTTGGATTCCCTTTTGGATAAACACTTGACAAAGGGTTTTAGTGTACAGACGCTTGACCTGGAAACTTCATTACTTAATACGTATCCTCTTTAAACGTGCATTCGCAGAAAAACCGTTGGAACCAGAATGTACTAGGGAGATGTTCTGTCTTAGTCTTATGCTCCAAATTACTGTCTTCTTCTAGTCTACTGTAATGATCTAAACTTTTTGAAATTAGGGAATTGACTGCTAGTGAATATAATGAATGACATTATTTCAAGTTGACTTCGATGAGTGATGAAAACGTTTTTGTAATCAATCGAGTTCCCGCAACTGTCTAAATTAAGAAGTGATCTGACACCCACAAGTAAACTACTCTGAGATGAACTTCTTGTGAAGTTAACCAAATCGGATGAGAGAACCAGTACCCTCCGGTGACCTAGGAGTATAGTGGTACTATATCATGACTTGATAGAAGTTGGAACACATGAGTCATTACATTCCAATGTAGTGATGAGTGAAAAACTGTTCGCCATGGGAACTAAGGCAGAGTCACAGCTCAGCTTAGTGCTAGTTAAAGATTCCACCACTAAGCTAAATATACGCCTTCTATATTACCTTTTACAAACATTCTGTACAATGAATCAAGTGTTCTTATTATTTCGAATCGTGATCCACAATAATGCCAATTAGCCTATCATTAAATAAATTTTAGCTTGTGGTCGTACACTTCTAGAGCCAGTAGGAAGCTTTTCTTCCCCTCAAATGGCTTGGAAACTGGAAGATCGATTCCATGGAAATGCTAACTCATCGTTATTTCCTGATCCTATGGGTTTAGACCATTCAATCCAGTTGGGGAACGCTCTTTCAGTTGCTCATCTCTTACCAGATGATAATGAGAATATGTATCATCCATATAAATCGTTAACGGATGGTAATATAGTTGACGGTGGTGAAGATCATAGTTTAATTGGCATGGTAAACGATGATAAATACCAGTTAGAAGCTCATTCATATAATCCCTTTAAAGGATCATTCAATAATGAAGAAGTTTCGATGATAGCAATGAGTCGTTCGTCTAAATCATCAGCAAGGGGTGCATCATCTGCGTTAGGTTTCACATCAGCTAGTCCTATTCTTTGTCAGTGGAGAATAAACGCTGCGTCTGGTGAACGAATTCGTCTGAATTTCACACACATGGATATATCTGGACCAATAACGCAGGATTCTATACACACACCTCCAAATTTAAAAACCATACATAAAACATATGAATTAAATCAAAAAAGTGTCAATCGTGTTTCATGCATCAATGATTATATAGATATACGAGATGGTTATTATTTCGGTTCACCTCTAATTGGTAAGTTAGCATTCTCGAATACGTTATATAACCTTTTGTTAAATACACAAAACAGTTTGTAGTTTTGGTTTTTAGACGCTAAATTAAGATATAACTATAACTTACTGTTAAAGCCTACAATGCCACTTACTATTTAATATCGAATGTAACCACAATTTGCCAGCAATAAAAGGTGTCAAAAATCTTTCTGACCGAATCTATATATGAATCAGACTGAAAAAGGAGTGAATGCATCTACTTTTAATGGAAATAAAAAACAGAGGTAACCAGATCATGCGTGACAGTAACCTTGCCTTTGAAGCAACATCAGCGAAATATGCATGTTGTGATTTACATGTCGATCGCTGCACAGTGACATGCGTCATGACTTTGCAGTTTTGTGACAACCGTAATCTACCAACTAAGCTGTTGATTACGTAGCATAGGATCTAGCACTGCATTCAGTACTGGGTGACTCACAGTATTTTCTTTGCATCGTTCAGATGTAATCGACATAATATCATAATCTAACTTAGGTGTAGGCTATTGAATGATAACCTTCAGAGCCACTCTTAAAGGTTTCTCAATTTCTCTCAAATCCAAACAGCAGTAGGACAATAGAGAGTAGATTCCAACGTCAACTATGCACAAAAGTTCAGGTGTATATATATTCATATTTATAAAGGTTTTGGTTGTTCCACGGTTTTTCAGAAAGACATTGCTCGTTAACTAAGCTCCTTTAACCAATCTACTATTCACATGTAGAATACTGCGCAGTTCCCACATTTAGTAAGTTATGAAGAAAAGGGTGGTTATAGCGAAGATAATCTTTTTGACGATTCATTTTCAAAGCTTTAGATTCATAAATAGATAATTCGAAGGACAGAAATTTCGACGGGGATTTACGACCAAAGGTCAAAGTGGGTAGAACAGTGGAGATAAGTCTGTCAGTTGAGTGTGGGAATGTTAACTAACATGGGTAAACTTATGCAAAGATTTCAGAAAGTTGGCAAATCAAAATCCAGAAATTGAAAACAAAATAAGAAGAGCTACCTAACAATAAGTTTGTATCCTTTTCTACAAACCTATAGAGTAAGTAACAGATAAAAGTAAAATGCAACAATGTCAAGGTCATGGTGAAAAAAAAGGGCTGTACACCTTTTTTGGACGTACATTCTAAGTTCGAATCTGTAAATTACTAATGCTTTAGCTGCACACAACTATCTTTATCCTCAACCCTTTTGAACTATTTTTATGACTCTGCAGAGGATCTAGAAAGACGTTTCGAGAGCAGCTAAATGTTTCGAATTCATTAACTGTTCGATGATAGAACTGGAAATAGTGTTTTCTCAACTTTCAGTGGCCACTTCGGATAATATTCTTGAGGGCGTTTGTCGACTTAGAGTATATTCTCGTTAGTGTGTTCACCTAGACAGACACATGTGAAACTACAGGTGTATACCGATGAGACCAAATGCATTAACCTGTTCTTCACATATTGACGGATCAGCTGATGGCATGAAAGATAAACCGGAGACTGATGTTAAAGAATGTTTTCTTAGTGACTTCGACAAACGTTTTGCGCAGAGTATCAGTCTTGATATCACATTTCGCAGCTGGGTTGCACCGTTCCGAAACCGTTAGGATGTACTGATTAGTTGGGAAAGCTTTCAGGGATTTCGGTTTTCGTTGAAGGATCTTGATAATAATGTACCACAACATAACAGTAATCCTACAATTGATATGAATAACTGATAGAACCATAGATATCGGAAGAAAATTAAATTTTTAGATATTTTCGTTGACAGAAAACTTGGCAAGTAGCATTGCAATTCTTGCCTTAAACACTCATTATTAAGGTTTTCCTATCTTGGTTCTAATTACAAGAGACATATCTCTCAATATCTTGCCAATAGTCAGATAATACATTTTCATCTCTGTCTGATAGTCATAAGCTTGTTAGATGAAACTCAATAGTAATGCACATTACCAATCTTCCTTCTAGAAGCCGTCGTCCCATCAGAATGAAAGAGTTTAAATTTCCTGGAACCTGTGGAGCCTGTTCCTTTCAATATGTAATCTCTTATGATAACAAAAGCCCTGGAGTAATATCTGTTTTTCTCCTCAGTCCTTCTCAGTTACTTTGCCATGTGCACTAAGCTGCCTTTTAAGTTGGACGACAAAGATGAGTTAGCCAATCTGTTATTCGTAAGACGAGCAATATTTGAAGTCTGATACCGTTCATTCTCATAGCTAACAAATGGGCTTGTGTGTGAAACAATGGTTTTTTTATTTTTTGGTAGACAGCAGTTTTCTTTGGTGCCGAAAAAAATCTAGTCGTGTGGTCAGCTATTCTTAGAGATTTCTAGCATGACTGATAAGCATTTACCAGACACATTAATCTAGTACCTATTACACAAACAACTTCTCAAGTACTTGTTGATCACAGCTCCGTTGCAACATCAAACGCCTTGGTTACTAAAAGTAAAACCAGTAGTAAACTTTGACTGTTGATCTGTCTGTCTGACGCATATGAACTTAGCAGTGGGACCGATACATAACATTTTGACAGAGACCACAGATTTTACTAGTCCCAGAACACTTTCTGTTATATTTCCACAAATAAAATCCATATTTTTAGTACTATTTAATCCAATTTTTATGTAGGTCGATACTGCGGTCAAACATTGCCTCCACCACTAATCTCCACTGGATCACGCCTTTGGTTAGAATACAGAAGATCTGCTGGAAGTATGACTACTGGTTTTATTGCTCATTATGAGGGTAAGAAATAGATAAGGTCCTCTAGTTTTTATTCATTAAACTTGTAAAATGTTTTACACCTCATGAACCTCACTGTCAAATTTTGTTTATTCATATTAACCTGCATATAATCGTCGGCTTAAATAAATTTAAATCTAAATGTTCAACAACTACCTACCACTTTGGGCTGTAGATTGCAAAGATGAGACTTCTGATACAGATGGAGTGCTGCAGACTGGTTGTGACATTCATAATACCGAAGGAAGAGTGACAATACTGCTTAGAAGATTCTAATTACTTAGGTCATTCATGAAATCTGAAGGATTCAATGATAATGCCTTTCATAAAATATGATTCCTTTAATTTCAACATGAACATGCATAACTGGTTAAAAGCACCACATAGACTGAGAAGAGGATGAGTCACTCTCTCTGCACTTTCTGAACTCTGGCTCATCGACATAAGTCGCTGACTTACTAATGGCTAAGACAAACTGTAAAAACTGGATTCGAAATCGTCACGAAGTACTATAAATTCTTTTTCTCTATTGTTTCCGTTTAGCTATTTGTGGTGGAGAATTGCAGATGGAAGAAGGCACACTAACTAGTCCAAATTATCCAGAATTTTATAGACCAAGTAAAGAATGCATTTGGCAAATCATAGTTCCAGTTGGTTACTCAGTTGCTTTGATATTTCATTCATTTCAGGTTAGTTACACATGCACGGTGACTTTTAAGTTAAATTATTTTAAGGTTTATGATGGTTTCAGGACTTATCAAAAAGTGGGACAAAAGCCTGTCCTCCCCATAACGTTACTGACAAATTTCCAATGTATCCAAACTATGAATATCGTACTCCAACGTGGTCAACACAAAACCTAAGCACATAGTATAAATGATCTATCTCGAAATTAAAGGTCTATGGGTAGATCAAAGCGGGTGTGCCGTAGGTAGATACCCACAAGAGAGATGAGCAGGCTGTGGCCCTCCATTTCTACCACACTGCATGCTAAACATTTCATACTTTGGAGTTGTGTATTATAGGCAGGTGTTTTAGTAACCTTGTTTCCGTGGTATAGCTACCATTTCTTCCTGTGTTTTGTCGAGCTGGTCATAATCTTTTCACAGCTAACATCAAACTTCTGGGACTACAGACAGTAGAAGACATGAATTAGAGTGGAACATGAATGATAAATTACGTATTTCACACAACTACTGATGTCACTTTCTAGGAGATGATTCTACATGTATTCTTGCCTTTTTCTCTATTTCGTGTGTAAAACCACACCAGTATATTTCAAAGACCTTAAAATTTATAGCAGCGACTGAAACAGAAGTGTAATCGAATCGAACTAAGCAGTCACTTAACACGATGAAATATACTCTTGATGGTGAAAAGAATCTTGACAAGTGTATACGTTAATTGTTACAATCTATTTAAAAATAGATAAATCAAATACAATGTGTTATATTAGTCATCTTTATACAGAAGTACAGTAATATTTCTATTATAGTCTAAAGCTTTAGTGGTTTTTCCGTTTATTGCTTCTCAATGAAAGCGGGCATCATGTTTATACAATGAAATGTGATTATTGTAACAATTATGGACCTTTCACAGTTCCTTTTATCACTTTATGCCTTGTCTACGCTCACTTTCCCTTGAAAATCTGCCAACCATAATCTAACATCATATAAAATAAAAGCTACATTTATTATTATCACCATACATAACAACTAAATTGTCACATACGAGATGTATTCAAGACTTTAAAACGGTTAAATTTCAAATGATTAAAAAACTTTGTGACGCTGACAAAAATATTCAAACTGCAACACCTTCACTGTGCCTAAGTCACTTTATGAACAATAAATACAGAAAGATTAGAGAAGAAACAATTTTCAGTATCCAAATTTTACTCCATTCTTTTCTGAATAAAAATGTTGGTTTCTATAGTATGAGGAAGTTAGCAAAACCTAGGTTTTTCGCTTATACGCACTAATTAAGCAGAGGCTTATAATTCAAGAGTTTACATTGTCATGGATATTCGAACTCACATTTTCCACAGACTAATTTGGAGATAGTAAAACTTGAAACCAGTTAACAAAGTTTCCAACTATTGATGGAAATGGTATAGGAAGATATAATTTAACATATAACTCCCTGTATGTCCACTTGTTATTTCCTTGTGAGGACTACTTTATATGTGGACGCTTGTACAAATACTTATGAAGCCCACCTTTAATAGTTATTCAGTTCCTCCGTAATGAAAAAAGGCGGTAATATAAGGGAAGGTGTATTTGCAACGTCGACGTCAACGATATAGGCGAAATACAATCGTTTATACATATTTACACTGGTGTGGGCTATTTCCAGGCCTACTATATTTAAATCCTATTGATTATTCATCTCTTTAACTAGCCTGTTGCTTACAAGTTGATTCACATGTTTTTTCCCGAAACTTTGAAGCAAAACGATTGGGTGAAAAAGGCTTTGGCCATATGGCTTCCTTTGAAAATTTGACAATTTTTTTGCACTTTACAACGTACATAACCTAGCTGAGGTCCTCAAAACAATGTAACTATGTTGTGTGGTTCGATATCCATCACACTGGGAAAGATGCACTCGTCTCGAATCTTCATATAGATTATCGTTTCGTATATCTTTATTATCTCTGTCTTTTTCACTCTCTGCCTCGTTTTTTGCAGCTCGTGATATATTTCTTGGTTATTAATCGTTTCTTCTCTTTTCTACATCAATATGCTGCTGTGGAATGTGGTAAGTTGGGTCGTGACAATATGATACCAGCCTCTTTGTCATGTAGACCTACTGTCTATCATCATCCAAATACATCAGTTCGGTAATATTCCAGTTTCCAGAAACTCTTATAGAACAGAGTTAAGTGTATGAATCGGTTTAAAATCAATAATTCATCCCAAATTTCTAACACTTTCTGCTTGTTTAAGGTTCACTGCTGAAAAAATTGAATATAAACATCTGAAAACGCTAATATACTTATTAATTCGACAAAACTGTTATCATTTCGTTTCTACGGAGATATAAACTCCTTTTACGTATAGTAATTGAGTGGGAAACACTTTTCTGTTCACTGTGATTGCTGTCTTAAATGAGTCATGTTGCAAATTCATCAGTATCTTGGCGCATGGAATGATATTCACTTCCAAATTACATTTCTTTCCTTGCAATCAGACTGGTTCTTTATTTTTCTAGTTAACACAACTTAGAAATTTGTGAGTTTCAGCGCCTAATTATTACACGTTCCCTGGAAAGTAAATATGCAATGAAATATTTTGATTAATTTGGTTCGTTCATTCATTATACATGTTGAGTTCTCTAAATATTTATTCTTTTAAGTCAAAATACAACAGCTATCGGGTCAAAGAGTGAAATTTTCCGGTTTGTTTTAGGGTTTTTTTCAATTTTTCTTCACCGTTCAACCTCCAAGTGATTGAAGTACGACGAGTAGTTAAGCTACATTTGCTGTTTGTTTGTTTTCCGTTTTATTAATCTGTATAACACGACATTTCATGCTTATTTCTTCCAAATAAATAAAAAATTTACAGCTTGAAAAGCATGATACTTGTGTATATGATTATTTGGAAGTGCGAGACGGTCTAAAAGAAACAGCTCCATTATTGAAAAAACTTTGTGGATCCCAGCTACCTACTCCAATCAAGTCAACCAACAATGTGATGTATGTTAAATTTGTATCGGACAGTTCTGTAGAAAAGCAAGGATTTACTGCCACATTTCAGAAAGGTAATTAATTATATTTATGGGAAAATTCACTTGATAATATCGACTTGTGCATAATCTGAGCTTATTCACAGTAAGCAGGCCGATGAAATCTATCTATGAAGTTCTTGCATGTATTTTAATATACAGCAGTAAAACTTGTTAAGTGTTTTCGAACTATTTGAAGGTGTATGATCTGACTGTCTGCCACCTAGACTGTTGACAAAATTCTGATTTCCTGTCCTCCTCAAACATAGGGTTCATATTTCTAATATCCAAAAGGAAAAAACACAGTTTGAGGTTTATGGGATATTTTATTTTTAAGGTAGTATTCACCACGGACTGATATTAATGAAGTGAGTACCAGCTAAAGATCTTGGTAGGTAGTCGCACTATATCGTGAACTAACAGAAGTAGGAAGTTGTGGACCACCAAATCCCCACCTGGGGGCTACGTGATTAATGCGTTCACAATGAAACTTGAAGACCGTAGGTTCAATCCCTGGAGGGGTTTTGGGTGCGTATCGCAGAGGACGAAACAGCTGTCCAGTGCTCCAACGTTTTCACTGTTTTTCCAATTTATTCCATTACGTGATGCATACTACCTTAAAAAATGAAATGATATTTCTAGCGTATAAAACATCGATGAGCGTTAAATGACATTAAATTTGTGACTATTTTGGCTGTATTTGTTAATATGTATAAATATGTGCAGTATAACTTTGACAATAAGAATATTTTCATTTATAGGCTGAAACTTCATTACTGCCTACTGTATATTCTGAAACAAGCTTTACAATTCGGGAAGTTTTTGGAAAGCTCATTTATTGTACTTGAAGTATTTTTTAGATCAAGTCATTCTGCTTAACCCTATTAAAAATAGTCAACAAAACTGTGGGGATGATGCATTTCCAAATTTCTGTAGTTATCAAAGCAAACCACATGCTAGTGAAAACGGACACTAGTATGAACCGTTTAGCAAACAAATTATTATGTGTGGATTCTTATTTTACCGTTCAAAACAGATCAGTTGGACTGTTACTCAGATGGACAATTTTCAATAAAACTGGCAATCATGTTTCACATGAACTGTGAAACTGTAGTTCTTCAGTAAGAATGGTTTACCGAACCATATAGCAGTTTTTCCTAATTAACATGCATTGATCTCTTATTATCTTACATCGTCAATGTTTTAATCAGTTTTTACAAATAGTAAATATCTGAAGTACGATCACGATAATTTCTTCATTGTTACACGTTATCGTTTCATGGTATATGATGAAAATGAAGTCCGAATTCGTTTCAAAAGATATAAACTTGTTTGTTACATTTGATTTAGAATTCGATGAATGCAAAACTATGAAACATGGTTGTTCTCATACATGTATAAATACACTTGGTGGTTATCGTTGTCAATGTGAAATTGGCTATGAACTGAATGCAGATGGGAAGCATTGTGAAGGTAAGTGCAGTAAAGTAAATGGACTTTCAAAATTAGTCACATTGGTTGTTATAACATCACTTTTAAACGAAGTTATTAACCTGTTTTATTTCATCTTTTTTACAAGTACCTACACTGTTACATTCTATATGCTGCAATGTTTCATGTTTGAACACAAATTACAGGAATTTCATTCGTGCGCTTAGGCTACCATGTCTAGGTTTGTTTGTCTACCGTGTAATATTGACTGTTTGAGGGATAGCCATCTAAGTAAACTTCAGAAGATAGAGATTTTCGAACGGGAGACTCAAGTAATGATAGTCAAATGCAACAAAGACCATATCACATGTTGACAAGCGCTTGCTAACGGAATGTATTTAAAGTGGCATTCCACTCTACCCAAGTTCTACTCTTAAACCTCCATTCACAGATTACTGCCGATTCTGTGACCATCATACATTCGGTATATCTTTGGTTAACACCAATGTTTAGTACACGCTATTATTTACTTTCTGGTATGTGATCAAGATAATATACTTCCAGTTATTCATCTGTATTTGGAACTGGTACTCACAGGTTGTTGGTTGGTTATGCGAATCTTGTGTCCCACTTTGTAGTATAGCTCTATTACTTTGACTAATATAAATACTGCGAACAACATCACTGGTGTATTTAATCTGCTCCGATGAATATCAGTTGTTCATGATGTGTTACAGCAAGATATGATCTAGCTTAAATCGTGCTAAGTGTTTCAAAGACCGTGATAATGTAAACTTCATTCGTAAGTGTTGTATGCGGAAAACCTAACAGAAATATCAAGCAAAAACTTAATTCCATAACGGACTAAATACTTCCTGTCTGTAAAATAATTTCCTAAAAATCTGTTTTCTCCCAAGAAATCCTGTATATGTTTGCGCTCACGAATTTCCATTCTTTATTTTGATGATGAATGTAAAAAATGTCTGTCCATGAATTATCTGGCTCCCTATAATGACCTTCAACTAAACTGAAATTTCGGTCATTTTAAATTAAAATGGTATAAGGAGAAATCAACAACCGAATCTTTGTTTTTCGAATCAACACCAAATGTGTAATGCAGGAAAAACAACATACGTTCCCAAAGAAGGGAAGAGAATTAGAAATATGTAAACCATGTCCCAATAATGTAGTTACCCTGGTATAATTAAGGTAAATAGTGTTGGAAATGTAATCCAGTAACTAATACTACTTTACTGTCTCAAATTCAATAAACCAAGTGGAATGGTATTTTGAAGTCTCTTTGTTCACCACTAAAACAACAAAATGTGAGTCATCGGTTAGAATTAGGAGCTAAGTTGGCCTCATGCAAAACTGATGTTCTATATCTTTATGATTAGTGACAAATAACTCAATTTCCTGTAGGTTTGTTTCAAAACGCCACTAAAGTTATGCACTATCAGCTGATCACGCACAGATGCGAGTACCTTCTTTTAATTTTTATCAGTTTGGCCTTTTGGTAGAATTTATAATATTCACTGTTCTTATGTAAACTCAGGCAGGTTTGTCTAGTGACATAAAATGTGACATAACTAACAGATAGTGAAATCACTGATGAAATGTTTGTGAATATGACTACATAAAAACGTCAGAGACAAATTAGAAACGACTAAGTGGCGGTTAACTGGTAAAATGCTTTCGAAACAGCGATAAAAGCATTAAATGATAAATATGTACGGAAGAAAGCAGTTTGATACAGACGCAGACGATGGAAAGACCTTAAATGCCCCAAAATAATTCCAAAAGTTGAAGCTTGAGAATCAGACGCTGCTCATGGACAACATCACTTGAGATGCGATGATGAATCAAATCTGGAAATTCAGAGTCCGCACATGAAAACTAAGACTAAGCTGTAAGTGAAACAATTTTAGTCAAGCAAAAGTGTACGATACAATTCTTCAAAATAAAATATATGTGGTAAGTACAAACTGTGAGACAAACACTCAGATATTAAATTAAGCATGATGCCAAGTTATAATTACATTTTAAATTCGATAAAACCCCGGATAAATAAATATGGTTGGATTCCAGACGAAATCTCAGTTCAGAGAATAACTCAGTCTGAACATCTACACCCTGAGTTAAAATATTCTTTGCTATTGCTAGAGTAAGATGCGTCACAAGAAACTCATTTCTGCTTCAATATCACTTAGTTTACTGATAATCAGGTTGGTTTCACACTTTTTGTAATCCACACGAAACTTCTTTGAATTGACTTACATTCTTGTATACATGGTACAACACAGAAGTGAATAATTTAATTATCATCCTCATGCACAAAATGCTGTCATTAATTTTCTGTTTCCCTTAGTTACATTGTTACTTCTACCAGCAAATTTTTTCATCAAATAGATGCGTGTGGAGGTGTAATCAATGAATCAAATGGTACAATACAAACACCATCATTTCCTGATTTATATCCACCCAGGAAAAATTGTATTTGGAAAATTCTGGCCCCACCTAAAACAACAATATTTCTTAATTTCACGCATTTCAATCTAGAAGGTCGTAATGTGAGTAATAAATCTGTACACCTTTTATTTCCATGTTTTGCTTTAGAAAGAATACCTTTTGGATAAACTTATTTTGCACATTTTATTAAAATAATCCCTTAGTAAACGATCAAACTAGTCAAATTATGCATCTGTCTTAACAATGAAAAAATGGTCAGGCAAACGAAAGCTTTAACTTGCAAAGTTGTTATGGTATACAAATGTGCGTGTTTATAAAACTACAGGTTCCCATCAAAAAAGCTTCAAAAAGTCTTGTTAGTTTAAATAGAAAGAGGCATAGCATTCACTTGGAAAGTACTCACAGTAACTGAGTAATGACTTCCCAATCAAACAACAGCTGGAAACTAGGGTTATTTGGTGTGAATGAATATCAAGCGACCGGTGAGAAGTGACAAAATTGGTCCAGACCTGCGGCTAAACATGATGCAGGACCAAAACATTAAGTGATTTTAGCCCAAAGAGTGAGTCAAGAGGATAAAAAAAGAACTACTCCAGTATATCCTGATTTGGTTCAGAAAACCATGAACTGTTGATGCGTCATTGAGGTAATGTAAGTTGCAAGCTTTTTGTTTACATGAGTCCTGTAAACGATACGAAATAAAGAATTTATATTGAGTGATCCGAATCTGACATGGATTGCAGAATAAATGTTTTTCACTGACCTCAGAGAAGGACCTATATTTCCGGCTGACCAGGTAATATTCACAATGAACTGTTTGAATTGTGGTAAACTGCCCCTGGTCCAAAAGCATGTGAAAGAATAAATGTGATTGATTTTTCTCCTTTTTTTCTGCAGTAAATGTCGTTCGTAATTATTTCTTCAGATAATTTTTATGACTATCATCAGAAGTATCCATCCTCAATTCTGAATCTAATAAAAAAATGTCTTCTTTGAAACTTTCTTAGCCATTATTAAAATATGCTTTTTTCTTGTATATTTTTCTCGTATTGAAATCCATTATCTGATAGCTTTGTACAAATAAATAATTCTCCTCACCAATTCAGAGAACAAATTCGGGCGAAGTGTGAACAGGAAAATGAACCTATGATTTCATGTCATCATTACCGATACCCAATACTGACTGACAGTTTTCCACCCGTCCACTGAACCCAGACAGCTTCTAATCAACAATAAAGAACAAATTTCCCCAGTCAATTTCGCTTAATACTGAATTTTAATTACAGGCAATAATTACTCACAGATTTTAACACTCATCTTTAATCACATCTGTTACTTACAGTAGATTCATTGGAATATTTTTATGCGTAGTCAGCTAACCGATATTCATTTAGACAGCGCAGCTCCTATACTCAGTTAGTACCAGTTAGTAAGTGACCCAATGAATGTTATGCTTTAATGCACACTTTCTGTGGCTGTTTTTAGGCGTGGCTTTGATTAGCTTCCTTTGTTTCCCTTTAATTTATCCCAATATCTGTTAAGTTGCTGATGCAGTCAGAGTAAAAATTTAGCCATGAAAATAATTCCACAACTGCTATCTATTCAAAGCCTTATTATTCAGTTTTATCATTCAGAAACTTCAGTGTGGTTACTATTATACTACTAATTATCAGATAAAAATAGGTATTGAACTTTTAAACCAGCTCCCCATATTTCAAAAACAATGCTTATCACTTGTTCCGTAATGCATTGTTAAATTTCTTTTGCATTTCATAATTATTTTGTGAAGTGAAGAAAGCAAATACTTACTCGACTGATAAATGTTTTTGTGAATCCACTGAAAAACTGACTGGTACTGGTCACAAATAAGTGACTTTTCGCTATGCTACTACAATACCAATAATTTTTCACCGAAAACTAGCCATCTACTATCTTATGATGGCTTCGTCACAAAGAAGTACAAAAAATTGATGACAGTTGATCCCGTATGGCGTAAATGGTTATGAAATTAAAAACTTATATAGAGACTGATCAACAGGTTTGTCTAGCTAAATTAAGTGAAGACCGACTTCTAAGTCTTTCATTTTATTAGTTGTGTAACCAAAATATTAGACTCTGAATAGTGAGAATATCTGAATAAGCACTTGCTTTGTGATGTTTTTGCTAAATAGACCGAAGTCTATCGTTATAAGTGTGCAGTTCTAATGAAAAACCTTGTTGCTAACATAATTATCTGAAGAAAATTAAATGAACTGTAAACTGTTACAAACTTCCTCATTTACCTGTCGAAACTGAAGTGTTATGAAAACTTCACATCTCAGAAGTGATCCTAATGCATTTAATCATTTATGAGCTACCTTACGGACGAGCGAAGCATCTATTACTTCCTTGGATAGCGCTTAATTGGCACATAAAAGCCACTGGCCAGCATGTAGTACATGGTTTATTATCACTTTGAGTAGTATATTTTACTGTTTGCTACTTAACCGTCTGGACAATATAAATCTTGTTTGATAAAGGGAATCCAATCCAACATTTTTCAAGTCACTCTCTGAAGTATTCAGCGGAGGCCAAATTTTTAGTCTGATCGCTTCTAAATCTACTTTCATTGGGTTGTTGGCGTTCTAGTGAAGTTATGAATAAACAACTGCATAGAATAATGCAGAACGCGACAAAGTATACTGCTATCACTAATTAGTATAAAGTGTTTTCAAAAGAGAGAGATCCTGTCTACGTGTCTGAAAACTATAACTGCAGCTTTCCAGTTTGTCGTATAAGTTCCTCCTTTGGTTGCGACTTTTCGTACCATTCCGGAAGCAGACTAACAGAACACATTTGCATCAAACCTCCTCATTCATTTATAACAACTCTGTTTCCTGAATTTACAAAACTACTATGTTGAATGACAAATGTTATATTTATGATAGTCAAGTTAACTGAAGTGTACAGCACACATTTGTAATGGTGAAGAAAATCTTCCTGTAGTCTTAGTTCCACAGCTCAGTAAAATAGGAAAACCTTTATATCAAAAAGTTACCCACTTTTCCTGACTGCATTGAATTCAGTTTATTCCGAGTTTGATCAATCTTATCCTACGAAAAGCTATCAAATTGACTTCTTCCTAGTCTTCAAATCATCTTCGTTCTTTCGCTCAAAAAATTTCTATGGCTTAATTAGGAATTTAGTCTTCAGACATATATTTAGTCATCAGACTAAAAACTGCCTAGTAACTCAGTAAAACTTATTCCCAAGAATATAATTAGATGGGTCTTAATCACTTTCGGGTTTACCGTTTTACTTTTCCTACTACATCTGAAATCACCTTTATTGGTAATGACATTGTTCTTAAGTTGTGGCATATTTTTGTGCACTTCTCATAATAAAATGAATATTGAACCGCAATTGTAAAACTTTTCAAAATGTTAACCCTAAAAGAATGATTTTGTTATTGGTCTTAGAAACGATTCGGCTGTTTTCACTGAGGATATTGTCTACTCATGATGGTTATTTTATGCATTGTTATAACAGGTAATGTTCTTTTGTTAATATCATCAGCTTTCCAAATATATTCCATATCGAGGGTCAATTTTACTAGTCTGCTAAAAAGCAGTGAACGGAAACACTTGACAAAGGGAAATAAATATAGAACAATGAAAAAATCAGCTTTTTAACGACCCTTAATATAAGGTATGCACGTAAACGGTTGACTAGAATAGACAGTTAATTGCTCCTCCCCGCTGTATTTTTCCAGTATGCTTTTTACGATGACAAATATGACAGCCAAGAATCTTTCATCGCTAAGTAATCTAATTAGGAGGCCGTTAAAATGATGTACCCTTTTAGACACCTATTTTAGTTTTTTGCTAAACTTAACTCTTCTAGTTTTTGAAAGGAACAATATCTAATATGTGCAACGTTAAAAGCCATTCCACGTTGCTGACATATTTAACCACACCTCACCCATCCTCTTTGTACATAAAGTTATACGAAAAAACTATACATTGGTCTCGAAATCTGTAAATTTTGTCAGCTTTCGAAATTATCCAAATGAGATGACCGTGCAAGTTACTACTGGTTACCAACAAACCCTTCAAGACGACTCACATGAAACGTCAAAGTTGAATACCGTTCTTAGTATCTTTTTTGAATATCCAGGCCGTTTGATGGTGTTTTATGACGGCATTAGCTTAAGGTAACATGCATCTCAGTAGTGTGAATATGATCAGTAATCCCAAATTTGATTTATACTCAGTATAATACATAATAGTGTCAAAAGGCTTTATACAAAAACCGAACATAAACGAAATTTAAGATTATTCAAAATAATGCCGAATGCTCATTAATATTAGTAATTTCTCACTGTTATACTAGATGGGATTGCTCGACTCCTGATGGTGTCGTGGATTCCACTGCTAACCATCAAGTAAAATTACAACATAGTGTTGAATACTGCTTGCTGTTTAGAAAAAGCCTGATTTAGCGAAGAAATATATTCCTTTTCGCTCAACCAGTCTTTTTTCTAAATGTCTAAATGGGAATGCTCAATGCTTATGTTTTATCTACTAAGTCCTGTAAATAAGTGTAGAAAACATTACAACGATATTCTTGCACCTCACCTTAATCTCTTAATAATAGGTATGCTTACAATATTTATTATAATCTTCGGTTACTGACAAATTTTAAATTTCCCCTATCTTTTGACACATGCTTAATAATTAAGGGTTCATAATGAAATGATGTTTCCTTCACACCCAACCTCGAGAACAAGTCATTTGCCTTCTCTCTCCACTTTTCACTTCTATCGGCTTTACTTTATCTTACCTTATTATATTTGAAATTAGACTTACTTAAAAATGTTTGTTAATTCAAAATAACACTGGGGAACAGTTATGCCTTTATGAAGTGCTAAAGATAGAATAAAAAATCAACCAGTTCCTTTAGGATGTAATTGAAATTTCCGGTACATGATTGCTGGTTGATAATCTTTTGCTGTAAGATTTATGTCTGGTGCACTCTATGCTGTGTTGGGTCAGAGGTGATCATGAGCTAAACGTCTCACAATAAGACTATATGAATGTTATGTAGTCTCTAAGTTTTCTTGTTGTTTCCAACATTCATCGATATGAGACGAAAGAAGTGCCTTCTTATCTTACTTAATTTACTGCAGTACAAATGAGCTGGACTAAAGTATTCTTTGTAATGAAAGCATACATTCTATTTCACAATTCTTTACTTACAGAGAGAATGCAGGTATGATTTTATCAATGTGTACAGTGGTCCAACAGATAATCAAAAAAAAATTGGAACATTCTGTGGTGATCAAATACCACTACCGATAACATCGCATACAAATGAGTTGAGTATCGAATTTTATTCAGACAAGTCTGTACAACGTACAGGATTTAGAGCTGTGTTCTTTACTGATCGAAATGAATGCGATGACAATAATGGCGGTTGCCAACATATTTGCACCAATACAATCGGATCATATTACTGTGCTTGTAGACCAGGTTTTAATCTTTATGGAAGATATGAATGCAAAGAGAGTAGGTTATACCATTTCTTATGATACTACTTTATATCAGTTACTTTAATCATTAATTATGATAAACTTATTCGCTTCCTTCTTTACCTCTGTTTTGATACCCGAATGTGATCTGGAAGATTTGAATCCCATGAGGAAAGTAAATGCTTACTAACATACATGGAGATTCTTTTGACATCAAAATCAAACGCTTTGAGAATGGCTATTTATCATACGTTCTACTTTTTGCGTATTTCATGCATGCTTTGTTCTTACAAAACCAATGTAACGGTCGTGTGAACTCCGAAACCCAAGCTTTTATTCAATCTCAGTCATCACCTACATTGTGGTCATCAACTCTATCTCAAATAGACCAGTCAGCAGAAAACTGTAAAAGTTGCGGCTGGACAATGGTTTTATTGTGTTCCGCAATTTTTGCCTGCATAAAGCACATTGTTTAGTATTGTAACTCAGTTTTTACTGACATGTGAGGAAAAAATACCACAGATTAGACTTTCAGTTGAAATCCCTCGCTAATTATTACTGAGTAACTGGACCGCTCCATTTCAACTCCCTTCAGTAATAACAATTCTGTCACGAAGATAACTGTTTATTAAGGTTTATATTTGTAGCTTATTCTTTACTACCATTGTGGCAAAATTAATATTTCGAGATCTGTTAGAATGGCACCTAATACATGTTGAAAACCATATTTCCTATTGCACAACTCACTGTGGAATGCATAGATGAAAGAACATAAATTCTTGTTATCTGTATTGCAAATATCAGTTTTCTTATCGGTGTCAAGTGTTTTGCATCCCTCATATACTATGGGAGATTTGTAAGCTCACTTTGAAACACCTTCCAGCTTGACTGACAAAAGAAATGAGAAATTGTATCAAAAAACCAACCTCTTTCTGTCTCTTGTTTTGTGGAATTCACGATCAACCGACTATAAATTCCGAAAAGCTCACACTTCCTGTATGTCAAACCAAAGAACTTCAGTTAAACAACTTATTCATTTCGCAATCCCTAGGTAGCTTTAATAGCACCAATGACCTATTTTGACAATAAGACTTTATAGCCCTGATAGTCATATAGTGTCACCTACTTGATTTACCGTTTTCAATCAGTGCTTTGTCAGCACTGATTGATTTCCAAAGCCTTGATAACGGACTGGTATCTCTTGGAAAATAAATGAAGACCTGGGAGAAGTGGATAGCTGCTTTGTCCTAATGTGGAACTGCTCAGCAGTCAACCCAAGAATCTTTCAGGGATCAAGTTTGGAACTGTCTAATCAAACGATGACAGAGTTGCAATTCAGCCAATAGGTATAAATCCAATGGTTTACTATATCCTAGTTCTGTCAGTTCACAAAATGGAGTAAAAATCACCTGCTTTCAGTTTTTCGTCTTTTTGAACTGATTAGATTATTTAGTTTTTTGACTAAAATATGCTTCCATTTACTGTTCCGACTCCCTCCCTTCTAGATTTTTTTTCTTCATTGGATTACATTTTTCTAGAAAGTATCAACATATCTCAGCTAGTCGTAGTCATCCCCAGTCAAATCAAAATGTCAGTGTATTGCTTTCAAAATCGATTTTGATGAAAATACGATTTCCATCTCTTTTTCCTCACTTAGTGGGTTAGTTATATACAATGAAACTCAGTATGAAATAAAACTAGAAAGCAGCTTTCAGATAATATTGCTGACCATAGCTTAGATTCGTAATCATCCATCCATCCAGCTGAGAAGATAAACAAGAAGAAGAATTCAGTAGCACTGAGAAGGCTCTTATACAGAATGGATATCCGAAGAAATTCACCGTGAAGGATGGAAAAGAATGTATTAAGAGAACCAGACATTCAACTGTTGAGATTTAACCTGTTTTCCTTCTTCTAGCATTCAAGGGTGATGAGATACCCGAAAAAATAGACAAAAGAATAAAAGCCGCACTAAGAAGGAGCTCCCCTGCTACCAGACGCATCTTAGTCTACAATGCAGTATGCTCAACAACACAGTCGAAAGGTGACAAATACCCAGCCCACGTCACTTACAACTGTGTATATCAATTCACCTGTGCTTGTGGAAGCAAATACGTAGGAAAGACCTAACAAAGGCTTCTACTCGATTTTATGAGCATATTCCGGGGAATCTATGCCTGAAAGTTGGACAGGTCTTTACCAGAGCAATCGCCAGACACCTGATGGAAACAGGACATCAAATAGATATTTCTCAATCCTTCAGGATAATCAAGAAACAAAGAAGGCCATGTTTATAATGGTTTGCAGAAGCTTTCATCATCAAACATTTTCAACCTGACCTATGTACTCAGAAATTGACTGTAATTATCTTTTTTACCTTGGTAACTGAATATAATTTCCTGCATGCATATGTATATAGTCTTCGTTTTTGGATTTCATCATCTCTTTATTAATTACTTACTGACTGTTAATCACTTGAAGACTTACCAGTTTTTTCATGTTATTACGTAACCTACTAGTTCTTCAACAACCCCGTCTTTCGCACTCCTGTTTGCTTATTCTCCCCTCCTTTCCATACCTCCAGAATTTTTTATCTTATTAGATATAAATTGGCGTTGATTTTGACTGAGATTTGTGGTTATTAATCCTGTGTTACCTTGACTTATGACCTTATTGTTAACCCTGGGTTTCAAATTTTCACTTATTTCTACATATTTAAAGTATGTAATACCACTATTACTAGTAATACTTCATTTAATTGCAGGCTGTTTTGCAGCTGATGAAAGGCAGCGAAATAAAATGAGCTCATTTCATTCTACAAAAGTCTTGTTTCTGCATTGTTCAAATTTGTCAAGTTGTATAACAATCATCCACTAATTTGGAGTCGTAAAACTCGATATGAATCACACTTCATCTTCCACAAAAGGCTTCGTGAATTATTTTTGCAGAATGTGGAAATTCGTTCACCTTCAGTGTTTGTTTCCTAATTTCTGAATATCATTTTTCTATATTCTGTAACAGATGAATCTTGATAATATCGAAAACTTACGTTTTTTTACTACACCGTAAATAGGCTTTGTTTTCTTTTTTATTTGACTTGCATTACACACTATAAGAAATACGCTGCTCTGGTAAACCAACATCCATTTACAAGATAGAAGTGCACAATATTTATTGTTCGAAATTCTTCTATAGTACTAATCATCCTTGAAGATGTAGAAATGTAACAAAATACTAGTTCCGAGACTGAAAGAAGTATTTTGTGCCGGAAATGGATTTGTAATCTCTTCACCAGCCATAAATTACTAATAATTATAGAAGAATACTCTATATCACACCTTTGTACAGTAATTAGAGTTTTAAAGGAGGAATCTGTAATCATGTGTGTGTTCCATTTGAACAATTGTGTTAATAGGCCACACAAGTACCATAAACAAGCTTTTTAAGATACTCATTGATTGTTGTAATCAAGATTACAGTTATCACTGAGATCATGATTGATATTATTATGCTGTTCAGTCTGTTCATCCTTTCTGTTCAAATTATTCAATCACTGGCGACAAAACGAAATGAAACAATATATAAATATCTACATCTGGCTTACCTACAATGGATTCATTCGTATTCCTAGTGAATAAGATTATCACTTCAGGATTACTATTCATAAAGCCTTTTTATGACAAAAAGTGACTATATATATATATATATATATATATATATATATATATATATATATATATATATATATTCATTGCAAGAAAATAAACATAAACGATGTACTGTACATTACTAAAATTACACTAACACAAAATTTTTTTCATTCGAACCACCGTTGACTGCCTTCACTTCTAAGTCTATTTACCATTGAAAATAACAAACACGGGAAGTTTATTGTATGCATGATAAGTTTATACAGCTGGACAGGTTCAGTAATTGGCGTTACAGTCATCATGATGACTTTCGGTGGGATCCAGGACTCGCGTTTCTCTCTGATTGGGACTCGCCAGCTAGATGTACCTGCACTCCACTGAATGATTTTGTTCTCACTAAGACTCAAACCCAATCCCATGGCCTCAAAAGCCAAAGTGTTATCCACTAGGCTACTGAGGTTGGGCAATTCGACCCTGCATACCAACTGGAAATCACAAGTATCAAACAATAGTTGGCGTTACTTTTGACTTGCTAAATTTTGAAGTATTTGTATGATCACTATCTGCTTAGTGACAGGTGCTCACCCTGTTACTCACCTCGTCTCACTCATTTAGATTAGCATTATATCTCGCATTTGTTACATTCTCTAGTTATGCCACGTCTGACTAACTTAATTTATCATCTCATGTATCAAAATTAAATCTGAGGATCAATGATTCAGTCGAAAACTGAAGTCTTTTACAGTTGAGTCTACTGTTGGAAAATTCATCCAAAGTATTTACCTTTTCTGCGCAAAAGATACAATGAAGAAGCAGTATAACCACTTTTACAGAGACTGTTCTGTTGATTCCTTTCAAAAGTCAGAATCGAATTATAGCTGTTAAAGGTACTTCGTGGTAAATACCTTCATCGTAACCACCTGTTTTATCCCTTTCCTTACGTTTAGTGTGTCAGTACATTTAGAGTAAAAATCCTTAATCATCTATGCATATTTTAAATTCTTAAACGCTTTCTTTGATGACCGGGAATAGACATGTGTTTTGCACTGTTATTACACTACCTTCATGATCTCTGAAGGTGCACAGAGTTTTTGATGATAGGATAATTATACTCAAAGGATTTGGATGATAACCAAGAATGAAAAGTTACGTCTTATTTTATACTACCTTTTTAATAATAGTCTATGATTAGAAGTGAATAATATATTCCAGTGGGTTCGTAAAACCAGTCGTTTAGTTCTTTTACAAATGTTACCCGTGTTATGGTGGTTTGTCAATGAAAAATGGCAAAAAGCCTGTTCAAGGCAAAGAAAGAAATGATAATTATATATCAACCTTTTGTCGCTCAGAACCTGACACAACCAGCCCTGAAGCACCTTGTGACCGATGAAGCTCAGGTTGCTTTTACAACCTTGTAGCTTGAGGAATCCAAACGTGATTCACTTTCTGCCTAAGACTTGTATCTTTACCGATAACGACTAAGTTCTGTTTCGAGAAGTAAATATAGATTAAGGTAAGGCAATCAATTTCCAGAATTTTTAGAGCACTAATGGATTTTTAAAAGTGATACACTCATAGTGGTATATTTTTTTTAACTAGACATCGAAACTGGATGTCAACAAGATATATCCTCACCTGATGGGGAAATAATCACACCAAATTGGCCGAATGAATATCCCATGAAACAAACTTGTCACTGGAAGATCACCGTTACACCTGGTCATCGCGTGAAAATCGTAAGTGGTACACCTATTGATGCTATCTTAAAGAATTAATGATTAATTGATAGTGGAATAATTAATCCTTTCTAAAACCAAATATGATTGCCTATTTTATGTTAATTTTATAATACCACAACATACACTTTCTGAATAAGTTGCACAATGACAACAGGAGGAAGCTATTTGTGGGACTGAACTGACTATAAATTACAAATGTGTAGGTTATGATATCCTGTTAAACTACCTGCATTCAAAGATCTGGATGCTCAAACTCACCTGCTACCTAAGTCTAAGATATAGTCGATAAACTTTGAGATATCACACCAGACATTATTTTCCGACATTAAGAAGACAAAAAATACAATGTGTCAAAGAATTTAGTGACTGTGAGAAGCTCTCTATTAATAAACGCTGACAAAACAAAGACGAATACTTGTTTTGGAAACGTGACTTCATCAGTGTTCTGACAGTTTATCAGCATTTAAAACTGCCTCGGTTTTTTTTTCAGTCAAGGACTACATGTTTATACATCCCCCACTATGAAACTAAAACACAGTCTGTGCTGAATGAATAAAAAATCTAGCTTCGCTTACTTTGCTTCGAGTGGAAGATTATAATCCATGAGGACGAAATTTAATAAGTCAAGATAAGTGAACTAAATTAACTAAATTTTAATATTTTGATTCCGGGACCTCTAACAAAAGAAAAGGATAATTTTTATCACCAGCAGCTGTGCGAAATTAGCAATAGCTAAATATCATGGGATTACATTTTGTTAGCAATAGGGAAATTTTACTTATAACCTAGTGGAAATGAGTGCTGCTTGTTTGGCTGGCTGACATATTGTTATAAAACCGGTGGATCCTCGAGGCTGTTAGTTTAATTTAGCTAACTTTTAACTACACAAATATATAATTCATTTTTAGTGATGTTCATTTAAATTACTACTAAATAATTTCACTCTGGTCCAGAATGTCTCACTTTCCATTTAGCAGGGAGTTTATCCATGGCAATTATTTCAGGCTTTTGTGTCGTTCATCTTTCTTGCACCTTCGAATTAAATGGAACTGCAAACACTGATATAAATAAATTCTATGGAGCAGGCCTTGGTGTGAGTAAGCATGAAATAAACCCAGGCTTTTTCATTTCTTCTAAGCAGCTGACTGGTAAATATTTGATAAGTAATGTGACGATTTAATGCACGTTCACTCTATACTTAAGATACCACTCAGAATGACTTTGAAACGCTTTTCTAAAGAAAACCCAAGCTAGAGAGTAGTTATCTTCATGGAATATTTCGCCAGTCGCCTAACCTTAACTGCAGAAAAATACAGAATCCAACCATTCTGACTGATAAAATGATTTACTTACCATAGAACAAGATTTTACTTCCATAGCGAATCTACATCTACACCACAGAAAATTGAACAGAAATCGATGTCACTTTGGTCAATCAGTATTGATGTTCACATTTGAGCGATCACCTTGGCAAGATGGTCACAAGACTAAGTAACTAGGTTTGTAATATTCTTAGTTTATGTCTGTCATTTGAAGGTAGTTGCAGGTATATGCTGAACCAAAGTCAGCATTAGTTTTCCGAAAACAGTCACAACTTAAAAGATCCAAATTGTTCAGAGGCGACACTGACTGACAATTACTTGAATCTCAAGGTAGTTCTCACTTCCGATAGAATCTTCAGGCTCCTTCCGATAGCTTTCACTATTACAGAGACTTAGAGTAAATGCTCCTTAATAAATACCTCTAGCAAGATGACAACAAATTTTCTTGTACAGAAATATTTCTAAAATTCCTTTAGGTATATAAGCCACTTTCTTCTTTTTATGCCTATGTAGATATTTGCTGATTTCGAACTTGAGCCACACCAGCAATGTATATATGACCAAGTTATAGCCTATGATGGACCAACAAACACCTCAGCTGTTCTTGGTCAGTACTGTGGTAGTCATAAGCCTGGTCCAATTATTTCCTCGCAAAACCAGTTGTTACTTACATTTAATTCTGATTCATCTGTACAACGCAAAGGATTTAGGGCACAACATACTACAAGTAAGTTACATACTTGACCAATACTTTGTTACATAATCACCTTTTTAGTGCTGATATGTGTCTGCCTAATTTGACTCCTAGATTTTAATCATCAGACACGAAATGATAGTAAATTTCGAGTTGTATATCACTATAAGTTAACTTGACATGTGCAGCTGTTAAAAAACTGCAAGATGAACCACAGTCGTTTCCACATTCCAGTCTAGGATTTTGAAGTCGAGTGTCAGTTAAACTGGAGTTTAAGCCATATAACTTGATACTGATGGTTTGAAGAACAGTAGATTGAAAAGAGGTATTTTTCCGACGCTATTTAATCTTCAGTTTTTGAAAAATCTACTTGTCAAAGAATTTAGTTATTATAGTAAAATTTTCTCATGTAAACCTGTCTGCCGAACTACACTTTCTAACTTCATATCCAATTCGTTTTGTATAACTGCATGACTTTGATGCTCAACAGAAAATATAGTGATAAGAATTACTTAAACAAGCAATCTGATTTATTTCCGATAGCAACTAATAAATATTCAACTGATGAACTAGAATTCCTGTGAAGTAATTTTATGCAGTTTCTCAGGTTTAAAAGCAAGATTCAATTGTTTTGTTTTCGAATAATTTATCTAACAATCAATTAGTGGCTGTTTGGAAACTTTTATTGTTCTAGTTTGTGGTGGACATTTAACCGCTGACAATATTCCACAGACAATTTATTCACATACCAAATTCAGTGATCTTGATTATGAATCAAATCAACAATGTTATTGGACAATTACTCCAAAATTAGAAAATCATACTGTTCTACTAAGATTTCTTTATTTCGAAGTGGAAGAAGAAACATTATGCACGTAAGTTTGCAAAAATAACCTATTGTTATTTACTTTGGTGACCAGCTGCAATGCCAGTAGCTCAGCAACGATTAAGTTTCTCACTACAGTAATGAATGAAAATTAGCGTTAATGTTCAGGGAGCATGAGTCTCACTGACGTTGCAATATACCTTACAAATGACTGCTAATAAACATTCAACCTGTATCATTGTCTTCCACAATAGAGAACTGACGGAAGTAGGAAAAATGCACTATTGGATCCCCACCCACTGGCTCAATGATAACGTGGTAGCCGTGGAACCTGGAGGTCCTGAGTTCGAGTCATGTGTGCGCACTGCTGAAGAGTTCCGTACTAGGATGAGACAGCCGTCCAATGCTCCCAGGTTTCCAATGTCTTTCCAACTGATGTCGGTCCATAATGAATTCCAACCTGGAATCAATTACAAAAATCTATACAAACCTCCAGCGAGGGAAGTGATTCACCATGTTTACCACTTTAGCTATCTGGGAATTTGCATCAACCTAGTGGTTTGTCAGCCAAAGTAATCTCAGCAGGGATATGAAGTGTTTAATTACTTTTGGCGACTTGCTCTATTTGAAGTGCTTAATGAATATCTGAACATTTTTTAAAGGTAAAGTGTATTGTGTATTGTGTCCTATTGTGCAACTGTAAGAAATCGCCATTAAAGGTTGAATACAGTAGAGGGCTTCATGTGTGCAACCATCACTGTGTTCATAGCACTGGTCGTGACCACTGTTCCAACTGGTTGTAACACTTCTGTGCATCTCCCGTCATACATCTGATACCAAGTACCTGCTGACATCTGATATCTCACTCACGAATGATATAACCCATGGGCTAAACGATAAGGTGGTTGTTATGGAACCTGACTTCCTTGGGTTCGACCTCCTACGGGGTTTATGGTGTCCACGATGAAGAGTCACGAACTAAGGTAAAACAGTTGTTCGGCGCTTTACTGTTTCTAATGGGTCCTAAGCCGCTATGCTGGTGATGAAAACTCCTTAGAAATAAACCATTCCCTCACAATTTTCAAAATGAAGTGAGAGGTGCTAAATATTTTAGAAAACGGCCTACTTGAACTTCACCTAGTATCAAATTGCAGGATTTTTCCCCTGTCTTGCTAACCAGCGTCTGCTATAGATAATGATATACATCTTTAATTCCCTCGGATTCACATGAAATCATTTGAGTGGTTTTGAAGGCCACTCTAGCAACTGCTGAAATAACCAATCAGATATTAGAATTTCGACTGGGATGACAGTTTCCCATAGAATACAGAGAAGTGGCTGGTTATCTCAGCAGTCGCTACGGTTATACTTACTTACTTACTAACTAACTAACTAAACTAACTAACTTACTTACTTACTTACTACTTACTTACTTACTTACTTACTTACTTACTTACTTACTTACTTACTTACTTACTTACTACTTACTTACTTACTTACTTACTTACTTACTTACTTACTTACTTACTTACTTACTTACTTACTTACTTACTTACTGTGCACAGAAAAGTAATCGCTTAGCTAATGCAGTCGTTTATGCAGTGCTTTCAACTGTATTTGAAAATGGATAAACAGTTTTGTTTCAGAAAGGCTTGTTTATCTCATTGTGAAAATCATCAGTAGTTCTAAAGGTCACCTTACCGACAACTGAAATAGCCAATTAGGTTTCAGTATTTTGGTTATCAGAGTAGACTTTCGAAGAATACAGAAGTCTAACTAGTTATTTCAACTGTTGTTAGGATGACCCATATAATCATTAAAAATCATCAACATACTTAACAGTTTCATCGTTTATTTTAAGATTCGAAAACAAAAAGGTGCCTCTCGTTAGGTGTTGATTTTGAGATAAGTATCTTCACTTCCATAGATGAACAGTCTATTTATTCAGTAATGATGACTTATGTTCGTATCTTGCAACTTTTAAAGACAAAGCTAAACAGGGCTAGTTTAAGACTATTAGGGTTGGGATCCGAAAGGCTAATCATTTTGCTTCTTATTACTCATATATTAACCGAGAACCTGTTAAAACTAGAATACATTGGAATCTTGAACTGACTTTAGATAGTGAATGATTAGTACATAATGCTTGTTCTCCCTCACCAATGAGTAATAAGCTAACTACAATTCTCCGTAATTAGTTTTTTTAATCATACTTCTATAGCAATATCAACGAGTCTTTAAATATGTTTTCTGCCTAATTTCTGCTAAGGTGACTTAGTAAACTTCCCTAAAATACTCTGATCTATACAGGCTTTCTCTTATCAAAAGAGATCCGCACTTCATAGATCATCGGCTATCCCAAGGAGAAGTGTAGTATTCTGGCGACATTTCAGAGTTTAAGATTGCGCAATGAACCATCAAATATGCTTTATAACAGAATCCGTTTCAACACTACTCCAAAGAATTGCAATTTTTTGAACAATGTTATGTTTTCACTCTGTTTATTTGTATAAAACAGTGGTACAAATTGTATTTTATTAAATATAATGACTGTAACGGCCTTTCATATAAAGGATTACCTTGGTACATACAAAACACTTGCTTCCTAATTCCTTTAATTCTTTTTACTAAAACTTGCTTGTTTACTAAAGATAATGCAAACTAATATTCACTGACTTGCTGTTTACCTGTATTTTAATATAAATTTCTGTTTGTCTACCCAAACTGTACTTTAAAAAGTGTTTTTCATTTCCTGTCCAGGTACGATTATCTCCGAGTTTTTGATGGAGCTGATACTAAAGGGAAGCTATTAGGTGGATTTTGTGGGAGAATTGTAAGTTGATGCATTCATTCATTTCGGGATTTTGTTTCAGAAGAATTTAATTGTGTCCAACTTCATATCTTGCAATGGCACTAATATTATTATTATTATTATTGGTAGTAGTAGTAGTAGTAGTTGTAGTAGTAGTTGTAGTAGTAGTAGTAGTAGCAGGAGAAGTAGTAGTGGAATGGAGAGAATGAGGAGGAAGATTTTAAGTCATGAATATGTATAATCCAAATCAGTGGATCTCAGTCACCTCAGTATCGTCTGATCAAAACTCTGGGGTTTATCATGCACTGTATGCTGATTTATTATTATTTATTTGTCCCTTGGGTTCCTAACGGAACATAGGGCTTCAGTAGCACATCTCCATTCAACTCTGTTCTCTGAAATCTTTCGAACCTGGCTCCACGACTTCCCACAAGCTCTCTAATGGTGGTGACGGTGGTGGTCTATTCATTAGCTTTTTGAAGTGGTCAGTCCATCGTTTCCTTTCTTTCTCCTCTCCCTTTGATAACTAGCTTCCCTTCACTATCTTTCATTGGTTTCGTCTGCGTTGATCTCTCCCCTCCCAGATAGCAACCTGGTTATTTGATATGATGTTGTCAGGTCTCTCTGTGTCTCTCCTACCAGCATTCTGTTCTGCTTCACTTGCCAATGTGTCGTAGAAGTGTCCTTCGTCTTTGCGTGCATTCCTCTTCACTCCCTTGTCCAATGTTTCATACGTTGTACTCAGTTCATCTTCTCGTCGTTAATCCTTGCACTGCACTGGTTCATCTTCCACCTCACCATCTTCCTCTCCCTCCTCTATCAGCTTCCATGTGTCCGTCGAGATCCATTCCCTGTCTTCTTTTCTCTCTTGTCCTAACACGGTTATGCAGGTTTCTTTCCACATCTCTTTCAGAGAGTTCCAGTGTTCTTCCACACAGGTTCCTTCACGGATGTTGCTCAACGTCTCCTATTTCGTTCTGATGGCTGACGTGAGGATGTCCTCTGCAGTTTCTTCCTTCAGTTTCTGGGTGTTGAACTTGAGCTGTGGTCTATCATCTGAGCCTTCATTTTCCATGGGTTTGCAAGTGAGCTGATGTCTTATGGGAAAACTAAATAATAATGATGGCTAACAAATTAAAAGTCACATTTGACATACGAGTCTGTGGATTAGTGTAGTGGAACAGTACATAAAACTATCGTTATGCATTCATTATCTTAATCATTAAGTAAGTCAATAAACAATAGGCTGATGTTAGTATCCATATCCAATTGGAGTACAACACCTTGGTATTACACGGCGTAACAAAAGAATTAAGGGTTAGAGCTTGAACTCTAGGTTTGAGTTTAGTTTTTGTTGGTTTAATGTTTTCCAGTTTGAATTGACATCTGTCCAAACAAATCTCCAAACACTATCTTGCATAGCTGTCTGTAAGAGAGTGTGAACCTCTCAGCAGCTGCATTCTTATACAGTTGGCTAACTCTGGTCACTTCGCTCCACGAGAATCTTCTTTCAAAGTCCTTTAGTCACTGAAATCAAACATTTTGAAGGGAGTGAGTATTCACCACTGCAAAACAAAAGAGGCTTTTGCAATACAGTGGTACAAGCCTGATTAATGCATTCAAGAGATACATCCAATCTCTAATTTCACCTCGGTCGTGATCTCCCTAAGACATTTTCATTTCTTTGTTAACTGTTTGCTTACCAGTTGTAATCCTACTAGAAATTCTTTGTGATCTTTAGTTGACCCTCCAGCCGTTATCACCTTGCGACTTGATTGATCGTTTTTGATGACTTTATGTTGACCTATTAGCTATTGATAGGTATATATTTTGTTATAAATGTGACCATGATTGTAGAGCTTTTGAAAATGACTCGTCAAAGAGAAAATTTCTTTCGTCAAATTTCTAATCATAGTAACGACGAATAGTGGCTAGAAGTGGAATCCAGGATGAGCATTTCATCCTATTTGGGACTCGTCAGCTAGATGTATCTGCCTCTTCGTGAGTGATGTTGTTCCCACCGGGATTCGGACTCAGGACCAATCGTTTCAAACTGCAGAGCGTTATCCACTACACCACTGAGCCATGATAGCTACTTCTTTTGCGACTGGCGTAGTTTTAGTATTATTGCTTATGTTACACAGTCGTTGACGGGACCGAATTGATAGGTATTTATTGATAATGCTCAGGCGTTTGCAGCAATCACTCTCGAGTCCGAATCCCGGTGGGAACAACATCACTCGTCAGGAGGCAAATATATCCAGCTGACGAGTCCCAAATAGGATGAAATGCTCATCCTGGATTCCACTGCAAGCCACTATCCATCATTACTATGATCTGTAAATTATTTGAAATGACACTTCAGATAGCTAACAACAGAAAACTACTACTGTGTATGTGTTCATGCATATATGAGACACTTTTATTTTCATTACAGTAGGCATAAATAACGTATTTTGCTACATGCTCATAACTCTATATTAACTCATCCCTGTTGCCACCACAGTAGATTCTTGAAAATAAGATGATTCATAGGCATTAAATTGGTTGCCTATGGTACACACCTATACATGCATTGAATGATCTAAATGGAATCACTCAAGAGAACAAAGAATAGATTTTCAAGTTACTCATGAATGTCAGGAATTATGTAGGCTGAAAATGAAGCTTCATATTGGATTACTTATTTGATTGAACACACAGACATGCAGTATTATTTACTGGATGATGTTTTGAGTAGAATTTATTGCTCACATCCATATCAAAGTAATCAAACGATTTTCAAACTTTACCTATATAGTCCAGTGGTTTTTCATTCCTCTATCTTAAAGTAAGTAAAATTCCCCAGATATCTGCAATATGTGATGTATCATTGCTGTTACATGTGTTAGATGTTGATGCGATGAATACAGATTCTGTGACCAACCTCGCCCTCCACTTAGCTTTATTGGATTTTGGAATTGTAACAATATTCCACCGTATGATGTGAATATGGATGGGTGCATACAGAGCGATAGATGAGTTCTTCTCTAAATTACTTATCTTAATGGGGTCTACCATTGTATTTTTTGATAAATTTTTATGCTGTATTATTCTGACCGACACTGATTCGCTGCTTTGATCTTTATACCTGACCTCATAACCACTAAATTGTATTTGATAGACCAGGTCATTTTTCTCAATTGGCTTTACTCGGTCTCTTAGCCAACAGAGCTTCCCTGTGAGCGAGTTTGTAGGCTTAAATGCCATGTAAATCTCAGCATTTTCAAGAATTCCATGCAAGTATTCCGATGTGCCTTCTTAATACAGGTTCACGTCGAAATCACGTCGAAATCACCACTAACATTACCACTTGTTCTCTTATCACTCACTATACACTTTCCAATGAATTCCGGAGGGTAGTTATTGAGAAGTAGTACATCTTCAGTCATCATTCTGCATACATCGATCCATATTCACATCATACGGTGGAATATTGTTACAATTCCAAAATCCAATAAAGCTAAGTGGAGGGCGAGGTTGGTCACAGAATCTGTATTCATCGCATCAACATCTAACACATGTAACAGCAATGATACATCACATATTGCAGATATCTGGGGAATTTTACTTATTTTAAGATAGAGGAATGAAAAACCACTGGACTATATAGGTAAAGTTTGAAAATCGTTTGATTACTTTGATATGGATGTGAGCAATAAATTCTACTCAAAACATCATCCAGTAAATAATACTGCATGCCTGTGTGTTCAATCAAATATCTAATATTAAACTATACTGTAGTGCAATGCCTAAATTTTACTTTCATGTCAACGAAAATAAACCTCATGCAGCCTGATACACTCCAATAGTTTAACAATATCTCACTATTCATTCCAAGCACGCGACTCACAATCCTTTCGAATAGATGAGATTCAGTCGCTCCTTTGGTACTACTATTAAGCATGAAATGTGACACTGAATTTGTAGTGATCAACATATTCTCACGGTTGACATTAGAAATTATTATTCAGATATCTGTACTTGAATGTGCAGAGCGTTTTAATTTTAGCTGATAAAGTATAAAATAACATAAACGGCGTGTGTGTGTTTTATGTAAACAAGTAATAAATTCTGTCAATCACTAAAAATATTCTTCCTTTTAACTTGCAATGATGATTGAATTTATAGAAAGTGTAAGCTGATTTTTACCCTAAGATAGCATAATAATCAAGAAAGAATGAAATCGGTTGCAAGGCATTACTAAGTGAACAGGTGGTGGTAGGAAAATGAAGTAAGTTCAACATTTGTATTTCTTAATGAAAACTATGGTCTATAGAAAGGCGATGCCGAAATCAAAGCACTGTAAAAAGGATTAGTATGCTATGGTGATTTCACTAGGTGTTAAGATTTTTATTAATACGCTGCAATAGGATAACGAGGCAACCATGTGAACACAAATGACAGGCAACAACTGGAAGTTTCATCTTATCAACTTTTACTAAATTGCTTATCTTATCCACCACCACTAGTCATGTACATACAGGCCATTTCTTAAGTATTTTGTGAACGCTTTTTCTTCTGTCTTTTCAGTATTAACCATAATAACAGAAATATGGTTTATTAACAAGTTCCATGATTAGTGTCAGGGAAAAAGATGAACCAGTAAGGCTGTGACATACGGAGTACATAATTCCAAGACGGAATAAATTAGTACGACGTAATATGAGAAATGGCACTTTTACGTCTACTTTGCAATGAGTGGATGAAAGTTATGAAAATGAATGCACAATGCAAAAATACTTTTGATACTAATGAGATAGTTAAATGACAGGAAAAGTAATTACAGTACTAATTTACACAACTAAATACACGTTCAGCATATTCTCAATTTCTTTTACATGATAATTTATTGCAGTGATTAGGAGAAATGTTAGTATTTAACTTTGGCTGCATCCACTACCTGTACGATTTCAATATTTCATTAGGATGAACATGATTTTTAATAAACTAAATTGTTTCGATTTCATAATCTCGTAAGTTAAAAACAA